TATATATATCAATAAATGCCCATGCTGGAACCGAGGTGACTTGGTTATTGGACTTGAGAATTGCGTCGAAAGAGTTGTCAGAGGGCTTTTCAATAATTGCCCGCCTTTTCAGCGTCTGAGAGTCTCAGTTCCCTTTATCGGTAACTGCTTCCCCCAAGCCACTGTTCCTCATTGCTCTCTACCGAGCCGCCACCAGAACCTCACATCGCGGCTAGAGGGAGCAGCATGAGTGAGGGACGGTGCATAGTGGGCTTTCACGTCCACTCCACCATACTCCATTCCTGCTCGCCTCTCAACCTGCCCCTCCCTCGGCACCATTCCACACCACTCCGCACCCCTACACCCTCCCCAGAACCTGGCGTCACGGTTGGAGGGGGCAGCATCAGTGCGGGACGCGGCAGAGTGGGCGGCGGCAAGGGAGGTGGTGGAGGGCGTGGGGCACACGCTGCAGCAGATGGGCCCGCTGCTGCTGGAGCTGGGCCGGCTGTGCCACTCCGTGCACCTGGGCGATACTGTGGTGAGCGTGGGTGGGCAGTGGTGACTGAGGGGAGGGGATGGGATGGGATGGGCACACACGCACTCCTGCAGACGGGGCTGTTGCTGCCCACCTCCATCTCTCCCTTCCGCTTACCACCCGCCGTCCCTACTCGTTCTTCCCATCTTTATCCCTCCAACCTGCACGTCCCTCTGCGTGTCCCTTTCCGCCACGGGCAGGGAGAGGCGAGGCTGCAGGCGTCTCACGTGGTGTTCATCAACCAGTTCGGCCCCAACCCCGTCATCACACAGGTGGGGCTCAGAGGGTAACACAGGTGGGGCTCAGAGGGTAACGCAGGTGGGGCTCAGAGGGTAACGCAGGTGGGGCTCAGAGGTCAAACAGGCGAGTACAGAGTGTCAACTCAGCTCACTGACTTTTCTGCACTGTGGATTCAATGTTGCACAGCATGGATCGATGGGGGATGAACGCTTGTGCTTTTTCCATTCGGGACAGTGTCTGATGTGGTTACCACATGTGTGTTGTTACCATGTGTTTCCTCAGAGAGTTGCTGACGTGTCAGAGCAGCAAAGGCGGCAGCAGCAGCAGCAGCAGCAGCAGCAAGTGGAGGACTACCATATCAACCTCCAACCAGGTACTCAAGGCTAGAGACGTCTTAAAACCCCCGCGCCTGTGCACTGTGCATGCAGCGCTGCAGCCATGTGGACTGCTTAATCATATAGAGTTTACGTGCAGCAACATTTCTCATCCAAGTACTCTTCTTCTTGCGCACTGCAAGCCTCCCATACTTCCTCTTCTCCTGAAGAAATATTCACTTTTCCCGAAAGTTTTCCCTCCGTCAATTCTTCCATGTGCTCACATCACAGGCTTCTTAGGTCCGCGACCAGGAGCAGCACGTGGCGCACGAGGCTCTACCACTGCCACTCCTCCCGCCCGCACCGCCCGCTCTACTGGTGCTGCCAGGACTGGCACTGGCACTGCTGCTGCTGGCACTACCACTGCGGCTGGTAGCACTGCTGGTGGCACTTGTGCTACTGTTGCTGGCAGCAGTGCTACAGGTTCCAGAGCAGCCGCACCAGCTGCTGCTGCTGCCGCTGGCGGATCGGGTGGTGGCGGAAGAAGGGAGGAGCCGCGCGGGCTGGGACTTGGGCTGGGGATGGGCTTGCGTGCCCCAAGCGGGGCTAGGGGAAGGCAGACGCAGGTGCAAGGGCAGGGACAGGGAGAGGCGCAGAGGCAGCAGCAGTCGCCACCACAGCAGCAGCAGCAGCAGCAGCAGCAAGCGCCATCGCAGGCTCAGCAGGGGGCAGGGCAGTTCCAGCTACAGGCGGAGCAGGTGCAGCAGCTGGTGCAGGTACAGCAGGCGCTGCAGCAGCAGATGAGCCCCGCCCAGATGCAGCAGGCACAGCACATGCTGGCCCAGCTGCAGCCGCAGCTGCAGGCCATGCAAGGCGCAGCAGGCAACCGAGGGGGTGCAGGGGCTGCGGGGGCAACAGCAGGGGCAGCAGCAGGGACAGCAGCAGGGGCAGCAGGGACAGGGAGTAGAACAGCAGGAGGAGGCAGCAGACCGGCACAGCAGCAGCAGGGGCAGCAGGGGCAGCAGGGGCGCGCACAGACTGCAGCGCAGCAGCAATCTGCACAGCCGCAGATGGTTCAGTTCCCCGCCATGGTGTCCATCATGGCTGGCCCTGGCCCCCTGCCCACCCTCGTAGTGCATCCGGGGGGGAGTGCAGCAGGTACTGCTGCTGCTGCTGCTGCTGCTGCTGCTGCTGGTGCTGGAGGGGCGGGTGGTGCTGGGGGGACTGGTGGCATGGCGCATGGGATGGGGGGCATGTGGGGCATGGGGGGAATGGGGCAAGGCATGGGCATGGGGGGGATGTACCAATACCCGTATCCTTACACATGGGGGTATTGGCAGCAGCAGGGGGAGGGGGGAGACGCTGAGGAAGGGGAGGAGGAGGGTGAGGAGGGCGGGGGAGAGGGAGAGGAGGATCCGGAGAGGCAGAGGGAGATGGAGGAGGGGCGGTCACAGCTGCTGGCAACCATGTTCTCCGTGTTTGGGGACACGCTCGAGTCATGTGAGTCGCCCTGCTGGGGGCTGCTGGGGACGGGCATTTTGCTAATAGAGTTTAGAATCCCTCACAGATAGTCTGCTGGCTTGTTCTCCGTGTTTGGGGACACGGCCGAGTCATGTGAGTGAGTGATTTGTTGTGGGGCCTGACTTGTTGTGGCCTTAGTTGTTGTGGCCTTAGTTGTTGTGGCCTTAGTTGTTGTGGCCTTAGTTGTTGTGGCCTTAGTTGTTGTGGCCTTAGTTGTTGTGGCCTTAGTTGTTGTGGCCTTAGTTGTTGTGGCCTTAGTTGTTGTGGCCTTAGTTGTTGTGGCCTTAGTTGTTGTGGCCTTAGTTGTTGTGGGGGCATGCAAGGGGGTAGAGGCTGCGTGGCCCACTGGTATCTCTCGTTGGAGGCTGCCCTCACATACTTTCCTTTCCCTCCCTTGCCATCCTCTCCCTCACTTTCATTTGCTCCCTTCTGCTCAGCTTCCTGTCTTCGCCCCCTCCCCCGTGACTAATAGCCCATATCACTACCAAAAATCACCCCTTCTTTTGCCTTTTTTCTACCCTTCTTCTGCCCTTCTTCCGCCCTTCTTCCCTTCGTCCCTTCCCTGCCATTGCACCTCCTCCGTGTCCTCTCTTGCCCATGGCATGGCAGTGGTGCCGGAAGAGGAGGAGCAGGCGGAGGGGGGAGGAGGGCAGGGAGGCGGAGAAGCAACTCAGCAGCCGGCAAGCAGCAGGGGCGGGCAGGAGGGGGATGCAGCCAAGGAGAGCGCTCAGGCACCAGTTGAGAGGGCGGCAGGAGGAGGGGGGGAGGGGGAGCGGGGAGCGGGGGAGGAGGGGGAGGATGTGGGGCAGCGGCTGCTGCAGGCCATGGGGCCTCTGCTGCACCGCCTCTCTGCTGCCATGCAGGGCCGCCAGGGGCAGCAGCAGGGACAGCAGCAGCAGGGAGAGGCGGGGGGAGGTCAAGCAGAGCAAGCGCAAGGGGAGGGTGGGGCAGCCGACGAGAAGGAAGGCGATGCGATGGAGTGTGACGGGAAGGAGGAGGGTGGCACGGAGGGGGGGGATGAGCGAGGAGAGGTGCCTGCTTGGAGCCCGCCTCCCCCTCCTCCTGCTGCACCTCCCCCTGCTTCCCCCCCACCTTCCTTCCCACCTGGCGCACTACACACATTTGGCCAGGTGGATTCTCAGGTGAAAGCACATGGATGCCGTGTCAAGGGCAGCAACTGCGGGAGTGATATCAGGGGTGGAAGCAGCAGTAACAGCGCAGAGCAGCACCTTGGGCACGACGAGAGGGGCCCACTCCCTGCTTACAGCCGTTCTCCTCCGCCCCCAAGCGCCCGCCCGTCACCCTCTCCCCCTGCTCCTGGCAAGAAGGCTGCGTCATCAGATGCACAGGCAAGACTCATTCTCTTCACCTCGTGACTCAACTGCCGTGCCGACACATCTTGAGAGACGTCGGGAATTCAGATGTACAGGCAGGACACACATTCTCTTCATCTGACTTGTGCACATCTGACTTGTGCACCCACCATGCACAATGAACGGGATGCTGCTTCACAACACACCCACTGCCATCTGCTCCCGTGTCCGGCCGCCCTACCTGGTCCTTTCTTTTCTGCCTCCCCTCCTTCAAATGTACCTCGTCTTTCCTGCATAGAACATGCTTTGTCTTCTACCATTTCTTCTTCCTCTTGGGTTTCACCCCCCCATCTCAACCACTGCAGCCAGCGGCAGCTTCAGATGCCACCCAGTCTCCCACTCCCCCATCTGGCCCTTCTGCCCCTCTGGGCCTGGGTCTGGGGGGAGGGCTTGGCCTCGCTCCTAAGCCAACGGTAAGGCAGTGCAGAGGGTAAGCTTCCCAAGGCCTCACACCAGAATTAAAGCTTTCTTACAGAGAACATTCGCTTTCTCGATTCACCCCCGCCTCCCTCCTGCCTTCATATTAATCTCCTCCTCCACCCCCTTCCCCGTCTCTTCTCCTTTGCTTGATTCTTCTTTGAATTGCCTCTTCGCTGCTGTTTCTCCCCTCCTCCTCTCGCACAGCCCCACTCTTTCGTTTCTTCACTCTCGTTCTCCTGCCCCTGCACCATCGCTGCCCCACGTTCCCCACACGTCTCTCTCCCCAGCGATCCACTAGTCCATCACAACCAGGCAGCAGCGGCAGCACCAGCAGCACCACTGGCACCTCAGCCAGTAGCAGCAGCGCTCCCCCATCAGGCTTAGGCCTGGGGCTCCCGAGCCTGGGATCCAAACCTAAACCTTCCCAGAGCAGCAAGCCTTCTGGGGGTGCAGGGAGAGGGGGAGGGGGAGGGGGAGGCATGGGGGCTGGTGCATTGGGGCTTGGATTGGGGATGGGGCTACCAGGCATGGGCGGAGGGGGAGGGGGAGGGGAAAGGATGCAAGCGCAGGGGAGAGGGGGTAGTGGGCGGGGGGCGAGTGGCGGAGCCCCTGACCTGGGCGGCATGTTTGAGGTGCTGGGGTCCCTGGGGATGGGCGGGGGGGGAATGGGCGCAGGTGGCATGGGGGGAGGGGGGCTAGGTCCGTTTGGGGGGATGGGGGCATTGGGGGGACTGCCAGGGATGCAAGGAGGCGCGCCTGCAGGCCTGGGCGGGCTGGGCTTGGCGCCAGCAGGGCCAGGAGAAGCAGCAGCACGAGCAGCAGCAGCAGCAGGGGCAGGGGCAGCAGCAGGGCGAGGGGCGTCCCAGGCGAATCCGCTGGGCGCCATGATGCAGCAGGCCTTGGCTGACCCCGCCCTGTCGCAGCTCATGCACGGCTTTGCTGCTGGTGCTGGCGCCATGGGGGGCTCTGGGGGGGCGCTGGGGGGAGCGGTGAGAAGGGGAGGGAGAGGTGGGGGGGGCGGGGGAGGTGGGGAGCTTGACCTGGGCGCGTTGCTGGGGGGATTGGGGGGGATTGGGGGAATGGGGGGGATGGGGGGTACGGGGGGGATGAGTGGTGGTGGGGGGAGCTTTGGGGGGCAGCAAGGGGGGATGGGTGGTGGTGGGCTTGACTTGGGGGCGCTGTTGGGAGGGTTGGGCGGACCGGGAGGGGGAATGATGGGTGGGGGCATGGGAGGGGGTATGGGGGGCATGGGTGTGGAGGGAGAGGAGTTGGATTTTGGGCAGATGATGGCTGACGTCATGCCCATGGTGTCACAGATGCTGGGCGGCATGGGCTTGGGCGGCACAGGCGGCGGCTTGGGCGGCGGCATGGGCACGAGTGGTGGGCGGAGGAGCACGGGGGGTGGCAGGCGAGTGGAGGAAGTAGAGGGGGAGGACGAGTGGAAGAACTCTCTGTCTGAGGTACGATGGGAGGGGGATGGCATTTCCTCACTCAGTCACTCCCTCACTCCCTCACACTCTCTCACTCTCTCACTCTTTCTCAAGCAAGTTGAAGCTGAAACGCTCTGACGTGGGCGAGGTGTTGTGATGATATTGGGTGTGTCGAATGACATTTTTTGAAAGATGCCAACAATCCACCCAAACATCTTGCACGGTGCACACATCTGACCCGACTGTTTCCTCATCCTCCCTACCCGCCCTCTCCCGAATTCCTCCCACCCCCCCCCCTCTTCTCCTTCCTTGTATCCTTCTGATCTCGCTCCTCTCTCTCTGCTGCCACAGGTGCAGGCAGCAGAGTGGGCGGCGAGCGTGAAAGAGGGCTACAGGCACCAGCGTGACATGCCTCATTGCTTTCTCATCGTGTATGCACCCTCCTCCCCTCCTCCCCCCGCCCTCCCTGCTCTCTCTGCCCCTAGGAGGAAGCGGCAGAGTGGGCGGCAATCATGGAAGAGGACGAGAAGCGCCAGAGGGACATGCCACGTCAGCGCCCGTTCAGCGATGCGTACTGGCGCGGGCAGCGTGGCAAGCCACCCGTGAGTCGTAGAGCTGCAATCCCTTTCTCCCCCCCTGCCACTTTGTTAACTTAATCTCTTGTAGATTCATTACTTCCGCCCCCCCCTCCTGCCCTCCATCCCCTCCGTCCCCTCCTTTCCCTCCGTCCCCCCCCTTTTCCCTCCGTCTCCCCCCATCTGTTTTTCTTAATCTGCTCACTCTGACGCCATCACTGCCCTCCCCTGCCACCTAACCCAATGCCTCTCCGTCCCTCTGTTTCCCACTTACCTCACTCCCAGCACCATCGCACTGACACGGCAGCACAGCTCTTGCAAACCGGCGCCCCTCCCTCTGCGGTGCTGGCTGCCGCCGCTAAAGCTGCTTCCATTGCCCCTGCCGCTGCTGCTGCTGCTGGTGGGGAGGAGGGGCGGCGAGGGGCTGGGATGCGGGGGGCAGTGGAGAGGAAGGAGAGGCAGGAGCGAATGAGACTCGCTGCTGAGGCTGTAGCGGCAGACGAGGCGGTTGTGGAGGTGAGGGAGAGGGAATTGTGGATGTGAGATGGAGGGGATTGTGAAGGTGAGGGAGAGGGGGTTGTGGAGGTGAGATAGAGGGAATTGTGGAGGTGAGATAGAGGGGATTGTGGAGGTGAGATAGAGGGGATTGTGGAGGTGAGAGGGATTTGTCGAGGTGAAAGGGAATTGTAGAGGTGAGAGGAATTTGTGGAGGTGAGAGGGAATTGTGGAACAAAATATTCCTTCTGGCTCATATCTTAGTGTGGGCGTCTTGGCATTCGCTCACCTGCCACTGTAGCTTGGTGTGGCTGCCTTGCCATCCGTTTTCTCGCTTCAATCTGATCCCTGGCACACTTATCCCTTTGTCTGCTGTCCGCTGCCCCCCTGAATGTCATCAAGAGCAGGCTTACACTACCCTGCTGGCGCGGGACCTACAGGCTCGCCTCTCCTCCGATCCGGATGCCCAGGGTCGGTTGAGCTTGCAGCAAGTCCTGATGTCGGACCAACAGCCAGGCGAGGTGGCCTCTGCTTCAAAACCCCCCAGCTGAAGCTGCGCAGCGGAAAATGCTTACAATTGTGCAGCTGATTAACGTGTTAGGTTCGGTTAGTACGGTACTTCGTGAAGAAATTATTCACATTTACCGATATTCTACTACTGACATCAAAGGGTTCTGAATGAACAAGCGTCACCTTGTGACAAAGGATCTGTTAGATCCTACCGTAGAAGCATGTAAGAGATTCTTTGCTAGTGTTATGGGTGCAATGGAACGAGGTAGCGAGGATTGCACTATGTGGGTCAAAAGTACAAAGTATGAGCGAAGGCATGAGCGAATACTTATGTGCGAAAACATGCAACGGTTACGCGGTGCGTGCGAGCTAGCTAGTGCTAGGCTGGCATCGAGGTTCGGGCTAGTCCCGAAGCGTAGGCCGACTCGGCCAGGCCAGCGGTGCATGGTTTGGTGAAACAGTGTGCGCGAACTTGGCGAAGCCCCGTTAGCAGTAACGGGCGAACAACGGCTGCTGCTGTACGCGATGTGGATGGTCGCGGTAAGGAATGTCGAGAAAAATCCTTACACTACCCCCCCCCCCCCCCCCCCCTTTCAAGAACCAAACCACGTGTGAGTTGAGTGGGGTGGCTGCACGAATATATGACTCAGCTGAGCAGAGCATTTCCCGCTTCAACAGCCTTGTTTGTGCCAAACTGCTGCACGCCATCTTTCAAGGGCTGCGCGCGTGTGTGTTTTGGTCAAACTTTTCGATACTTAGTTTAGGTCCAGTCGACATAGAGTGGAACCATGCTTATTGATAGAACGCAAGATTACATGGCGTTTAGTGGAATCGACCTTGGTTTCAGAAGAAGCAAACCCTAAACATAGAAACCCATCTTCTCGTACTCCCACGTAGTCCCAAAAACCCGCACGTATATTTACACGGGGAGAATCTTCCTTTGTGACCCGAGACTTCTTCGGTAAAAAATTCCTTGTTGGGAATACCGGGGGCGAGAGGGGGGGGGGAATAGAGTAGACTTAGACAAATACGAAACCAAGTTCCCGGGTACTCGACGCTCGAGGACTCGACTTCTCGAGTACTCGAAAGTCGAGTATTTGCGTTGTTAGTCAGACATTCGCCTCGACAGAAACTCGGCAATTATGTGATTCGACGAATAGTATGAGTAGTTAATATTCGTTTTCCACCCTTAGCTGCTGCTACTGCCCTATGTGCGTGTGTTTCAAGACCACTCAGAACGCAGAGGCGAGCTGCTGGATGGGCTGACCGCGTGCATGGACTCTGCTTTGCATGCCAAACCCGCTGCAGCCGCCTCACTGTATGCTTGCTGTGTGGCAACACTACTCTACCTCACTCACATCCTTTCTCCTTCCCCCCGTCCCCATGGCCCACAACCCTCAAATCTGTCACTCGCAATCTCAACCCCCCTTTTCCATCTTTCCGTTTTCACGTCATGGCACACTCACATCCAGATTTTGTTTTCCATGTTCACTACCCTTACAACCTGCTGTTGTTCGTCTTGTCCTTCACCCACCTGCTCGTTCCGCCCTCCCCCAGTACAACCGGGTCATGCTGCACACATCACTGGCCAGGATCCTTGCACCGCCCACATGGCCTGACCGGGTATGCATGTGTCCTGCATCAACGTATCCCTCTTTGAGACATCTCAAGGGATCCCGCTTCGACTGTTACATTGTTACACCAGGAGGGAAGCAGCAACGGTGGCACTATGTTCAATTCGTTCCATCTTGCAATGCCTTTTCATCGTCGTGTTCTTGTCGTCCACAGTACCTACAAACCGCTCTTACAACCATTACTCTCACTCCTCCTCACTTCTCGCTCTTCACTTCTCACTTCTTGCTCTTCACTTCTCACTTTTCGCTACTCACTTCTCTCTTTTCATGAATTTCCGTCTCCCACTCACTACCAGAAGCTAACACAACGCCGAGTCAGCAATGCCCATCTTCCGCTCCATAGTCAGCGAGCTCAACCAGAAGCAGATCGCAAACAGGCATGCTTCTCTCTCCCTCGATCCCCCTGCTCCTATTTTATTTTTCTCCTCACTCTCACTTGCCCCACTCCTGCGCGCTGCCTCTTCCTTCATTCCCGCCCATCCCACACCTTGTACCTTATCTGTCATTCCTTTCATCTGCTTCTCCCCACCCCACTCACTCCCATTCATATGTTCCTGAGTCATTCCTTTCCGTCTTCTTTCTACTCCTCTTCCACTCTGGCTTGTGCAGATCGCCTTTTTACGTCCTTCTGCATCACATGCCGAGTTGACCTTTTGAGGCTACTCAACAGCCAACCACAATCACTCCCTTCCCTTCCCTCCTCTACACTTCCACTTTTAGTCATGCACATCACCTTGCCACATACTGGCATGCAGACGGTGGTGAGGGAGCTATGGAACGTGGGGAGATGGATGTGTTGGCGCCGGCGCTACAACCAGACTGGGTTGGCACGATATAGCACTGTTTGAGCTGCGACGGTATTAGGCGTAACATATTTAATTTGAGGGGTTGTCCCTCCCAACCAAGTCAGGGAATTTTCACTCAATACAAATGTTTGTTGTACAAAGTGCTCCCCTTGTAATTATATCATCTCTTATCGCCCTGGGGATTATTCTAAACACTCTTACTACCATACTTGTTCTGAAAAAATAGAGCAGCCGTTGAATAACATGTTTCTGTATAATATTATGCTTGACTATCTATTTTGTGCTACATAAGAATAACGAACTCGTCTTTTTACACCACGTAGTAGCGAAACGAATGCCCATTAGAGCAGATGCCTAGGTTTCTTCTCGATGATATTTCCCCGCCACCGTCCAGACAAGTTCTGCTCCACACTCGCAATTCCCAGTGCCGCCAAGTTCCCCTCTAGTCAGCCGCGCGATCCCAGCAACAGAGAGACTATCGAGAACTGACTACCTTTCCCGCCTCGCAGCTCTCTATGGCCCTAGAAGCTGCCAGCGCTTTCGCGGTGTGGCGAACCTTTCGTCTCCTACATGCATTCTGAGCCACATCAGCGCGGTTGGACACGGAAAAGCATTCCAGCCTGATCACCCAAGTCCCTAGGCTGGTTGTAGGATCTGTCAAACTTCAGTCTGCTCGTCGCTCCCACGAGCTCCTGCTGATTCTGCTACACCCCTTGCACCGCTTCCCTCCAGCAGTGCTTGGCATTCCTTAGGAACACAGCGTCACAGCCATCAGCCTTAGATTCCACATTTCCGTAGTTCTATCCTCTGCATTCGTCGCCACCGTCCTTTCCCCGTCGCTACAGTATCGCTAGATCTCATCCGCAATGGAAACTGTTCCAGCCGACCTCCTATATGCCATTCTGCGGCGCGCCGAGCCAACGGGGCGTGGCGTCTTAGCGCGCATGGCGTGTGTTTCGAAAACGCTCAATTGCATCGCCAAAGAGTCGCTATGGCAACTGCATTGCCGTGAGAGACTCTCCGATATCCACGAGAACCAGCTCTCTGACAAGACAAGGACAGCCCGCTCAAAGGGCGATGATAACGAGGTCTCAAGTATTGAAGCAACGTCAAGCACATTACTTCGCTACATGCTGGCGCGGATGCATAACATCGACTGTAGAGCACTCGCAAAGCTCATCCACTGGTGCCCAGTTGTGATAAGGGGATGCCGAGATGCAGAGGACGAGCACGGGTGTGACAGCGATACACCGCACATGCGTTGTCGTCGGGGCTTTGGCAGCTGCTCCATTAAAAGAATGTTCATGACTTTTTTCGTGATTCTGCCCTGCTGACTTTGAACCCGTAAACACTGGATTGGTGCTAGCCCGAGGATTTTATGCTGACAATTATAACAAATGGTAAGACTGTTCATCTCCTTTGTGCTTCCTGGGAATGAATGTCTGCCGTGTTCCCAACTTATTCAAATGGACTAGGCCAGACCAGGTAGGTGCATGGTGACTTGAGGGCATGGGAGGGAGGAGGGAGGAGGGCCTGGGGGAGGGCTGGGGTTTGGGAATATCAACATGGCACATACCGGGCCTACCTCGACCAACATCAAGCCGTCAGGTGGCAGGCCTAGGTGGCGCTGCGTTGGGGAGCCTTGCTACGTGTGGGGTCTCGGGCATTGCAGGCCGAGAGGAGCCCCCCAAGGCGATGGTTCAATGTTTGACCGCTGTCTGAGGACTGCTAGGTTGCTATGATAAAGAAAACACGACTCGATGTTCAAAATCCAAGAACAGTTAGGCAGGAGAGGCATTATGCAAGCGTTTTACTCTCCCCCAGTGATCAATCAATTCAAAATCAGAGAAAACGTTACGGAAGGATTTTTTCTCTCTTTCTCATGTCGCTGACATCATGCCCCTGATTTTCAGCAATAAATTGTGTGTGCCACATGTGCTTGGTTGGCATGGCATTTAGCTATGCTGGTTCTAGCTTGAGTTGCATTCAATGATTGTTACTGCTTTCTTTTCCATGGTTATGCCTTTCCTTTTCTCATCATCAGGTTCCATGGGCGCTCCTTCGTGCAAGATGAGTTATGCTCTTACTGCTCGTCGGAGGTGCGTTCAATCCCTTGCTTGTTGTGTGCAATTCGACAGAGAAGAACCTGAACCTTCCCCATCTACATTGGTTTATTTTCCTTACTGTGCTATTGAAAACAGTCTGAATTGTTCGACAGGTCTGGGACACAACTGAAAGCTTGTATCGGAACCGTGAATCTGACACCGATGCCGCCATGCTTCAATATACTTGCACGCAGGTGCGTCCTACCATGGCGGGTAGAGGGGCGAGCAGGGCAGAGAAGGGGGGAGGTTGGCAAAGAATGGGGGGTTAGATGTTGGCAGAGATAAGGGGGAGAGCAGGTGAGAGAGTGTGAGGCTGTGATGCACGAAAACTGAATCCAGTCACTGTTTTTCACCGTGGTGCAAGGGGGGGGCTCTCTTGTTGCCGGCTTGTCATCCCGTGGGTGTCATAACTTTTGCATTTTTAGTGCCTCGAAAAGCTGAAGTAATGTGGTGAGCACGGTCTATTTTCATACGATTTGGAAATTTAATTCCATGTCTTCCACATACAGTTGCACATGCTTGTTCTCATGCCGTAACGCATGCCCATCCTTTTCCCTGTCTTCATCCTGTGTTCCACCCCCTTTCATGCTATTTTGATGCCATGCCCTGCCCTGTTTCCTTGTCCTACAGCGCATGCTTCTCATCATGCCTCTCAGCGTGTTGCATCAGTTGCTGCCACTCGCGCTACATCCGTGACTGCTCCTTACACCACGACTCGAGCTGCTCCCCGTACTGCCACCCGATCCGCTATGACACCTCACACCACCACCGCCACTGCTACCACTGCCACCGGCACTACAGGTACCATCGCCACCCGCCCCATTGCCGACTGCAGTACTGCCACCACTGCCACCCGCATTACCCGACGCACCGCCACCCAGGTTACCATCACCACTGCTGCTAATTCTACCGCCACCACCGCCACCCGCATTACAGTCGGTACCGCCGCCCACACCACCCGCACCATTCCCGCCCGCACTACCACCACCACTGCCTCCCGCACCCCCGGCACCCCTGCCTCGCACGCCACTGGCACTTCTGCCACCCGCACCAACAGCACCACTGCCGCCCGCACGAATAGCGTCACTGCCGCCCGCACTAATAGCGTCACTGCCGCCCGCACTAATAGCGCCACTGCCGCCCATAGCACCGGCACCCCTCCTGCCCGCACCACCCTCACCACTTCCGGCTGCATTGGTAGCAGCACCAGTGCCGCCCGCACCACCATTGGTGCCCGCAGCAACAGAACGACTGCTTTCCGCACCACTGGCACCACAACCACCCGCACTTCCAGCACCACTACTGCCAATGCCACCGCCACCACTGCCACTCACAACAGAACCACTGCCGCCCGCACCAACAGCCATACTGTAACTCGAGCCATGAACACGGAGGGTCATATCGGAACGGCAGCTGCCTCTCATGCCGCACGCCGGAACGGTCCTTTTGCAGCTGCTGATTCGCGCGCCAATGCACGTAGCACTCGAGGTGAGCAGTGCGCTTGTGGGGCCGTGCTTGCAGGCATGAGCACAATGGAGGGGGCTGGTCATGGTGGTGGTGGATGTTACTGTGGATTTGTTCTGTTTTCCATGTGTGGCATGTGAAACAATGCATGCTATGCGGGAAGTCATGAGGACGTTTCAGGTCTTGCTCTCATGTCTCTGAGCCACAGAGATTTTCATCACTCCGTGCGTGCAAGTCTCCTCACCTCAATGCATACATCGACTCATTGTATCATCTGGTGGGGAGCCGTCGCTTCCTTCTCATCTTTGCTCCCTCGTGCTATCCAGCAGCATCATGTGCCAAGACCCTGAATCACTCCCCCCTCCCTCCCAGCTCATCTTCTCTTTCCTCCTTCCTGTACCTCCCTCCTCCCAGCCGGGAACAGAAATGGTGCAGCGAGCTCGTTGGCACACGTGAAGACTGTCAGGCACTAACCCACCCATCTGCACTCGTTCTGATCCGGTCGGATGGCATGCCTGCCAACCAAGCTGCCCTGGCATCTGCACGACGCTCTCATCTGATGCCACTTGACATCATGTGTGTGACTCAAGCAATGGTGACATCTGATTGTGCTTCTTGTTTCTATGTTGAAGGTTGAAAACGTAATTTAGTTTCCATGGCATGCTGATAGAAAAAAGTACAAAATTTTCATCTAATAGATTGTACTACCGTATTCCTGGTTTTCTTTTCCCCAACTTTTCCCATACCAAGCTAACGCATTGCTTCAGGGCCAAGGTGAGTAAGGCTTACGGTATGCTGATTCTTGAGCATGCTTTATGCTAAATTTCTCCTGAATCAGGTTCTTTTGAGCTGTACAAGTTTCTTGTACATAGCACATCCACTAAGTAACCATCCATTAAGTGCGCAAAGCACCGATCAATCAATGTTAAACACGGTGGCTATGAACTGAAACTGGAGCCATTCTATGATGGAGACATGTGTGTTATGGTATGTTTCTAGGTAATGTTTTCAACCCAAACTAACCATGATCTAAAGCCTAAATGCTGGGCGTGCTCTGCCAACAAAGCAGGAGCACCACTTTGAAATAGTCACATGGTTGTAATGACACTGAAAGCTAGCCACCTCGCCTACTTTGTATCCATCCTCCAAATCCTCCGATTCCATGCCCTCCCAATCCCCCTCTCTCACCTCCCCATCATCCTCCTAGTCTCCTCCATCCCACTCCACCTCCTCTCCCCATTTCCCCACTCCCTACCCCTCACTCCCATTGCCTTCGCTCCTCTCCCTCCTCTTCATGACCCTTGCCATCGCTCCCCTGACCTTCTTCCCCTTTGCTCCCCTCATATGCATCCCCCATCCACACTTCCCCTTCATCTTCCTCCTCTGAGCCACCCACTGCATGCTCTCCCTCGTCCAGGTACCATGGACCATGGATCACCACCCTCTGTCTTCTTCCCCCCTTTAAAACACATCTGGCTTGCCAAGCCCCAGCGGCTGAATTATTTTGAACAGCTGCCCATGTACACGGAGAACTTGCGAAACCTGCCCGCCTGGGTTTTTCTCTGAGGCCCGGGTAGGATGCCAGCTCATCGCGGGCGCCTGACAGCGTTGCGTCGAGAGATGGCAGCTCAGCACCACCTGGCATATCGGCAGCGAAGTAGGTGAAGGTGGCTACTGGATCCCCTCCCCTTCACTCCCCTACCCTTCACTCCCCTCCCCTTCACTCCCCTACCCTTCACTCCCCTCCCCCTCATTCCCCTCCCCTTCACTCCCCTCCCCTTCACTCCCCTCCCCTTCACTCCCCTCCCCTTCGCTCCCCTCCCCTTCACTCCCCTCCCCTTCACTCCCCTCCCCTTCACTCCCCTCCCCTTCGCTCCCCTCCCCTTCACTCCCCTCCCCTTCACTCCCCTCCCCTTCACTCCCCTCCCCTTCGCTCCCCTCCCCTTCGCTCCCCTCCCCTTCACTCCCCTCCCCTTCGCTCCCCTCCCCTTCACTCCCCTCCCCTTCGCTCCCCTCCCCTTCACTCCCCTCCCCTTCGCTCCCCTCCCCTTCACTCCCCTACCCTTCACTCCCCTCCCCTTCACTCTCCTACCCTTCACTCCCCTCCCCTTCACTCCGCTACCCTTCACTCCCCTCCCCTTCACTCCCCTACCCTTCACTCCCCTCCCCTTCACTCCCCTACCCTTCACTCCCCTACCCTTAACTCCCCTCCCCTTCAGTCCCCTCCCCTTCATTCCCCTCCCCTTCACTCAACTCCCCTTCACTCCCCTCCCCTTCACTCCCCTCCCCTACGCTCCCCTCCCCTTCAATCCCCTCCCCTTCACTCCCCTCCCCTTCACTACCCTCCCCTTCACTCCCCTCCCCTACAATCCCCTCCCCTTCACTCCCCTCCCCTTCACTCCCCTCACCTTCACTCCCCTCCCCTTCACTCCCCTCTCCTTCATTACCCTCCCCTTCAATCCCCTCCCCTTCACTCCCCTCCCCTTCACTCCCCTACCCTTCACTCCCCTCCCCTTAATTCCCCTCCCCTTCACTCCCCTCTCCTTCACTCCCCTCCCCTTAACTCTTCTCCCCTTCACTCCCCTACCCTTCATTCCCCTCCCCTTCACTCGCCTCCCCTTCACTCCCCTCCCCTTCACTCCCCTCCCCTTCCGGCTGCAGCTGATGACAGGGTTGAGAGTGGAACTCACAGGGGAGATGCTAGGAAAGCATCTGTCGGCGATGGTTAAGGCAAGAAAGGAGAGTACACAAATTTCGGAACTACAGACGGCGAGCGGTGTTGTCTCTGACTCCAAAGGTATACTGGATGCTGCATCTGCCTTCTTCCCTAACATTTTCGGAGAGGACAGGAAACCTATCAAGGGAAATAATACTGGAAAGATGGGAAGCGGAAGAGCTGGTGGCAGATTGGACGGAACAAGAAGTCAAAGCAGCCTTCGGCGCAATGGCGGTAAACAAATCCTCAGGAAAGGATGGTCTGCCGAAGGAGCTTTTTGAAGCTCACTGGGACCTGTTGGGCAAAGGCTTCATGGCATTAGCAAAGGACTTCGCAGCTACTGCTACTCTCTCCACCGAAGTAAAAGAAGCTGTCACGATCCTACTGCATAAAAAGGGTGATAAGGACCAGCTCAACAACTTCAGACCGATTACTCTGCTTAACTTCACGTATAAGGTGTTGGCGAGGGTGATTGCAGTCAGGATGAAGAAAGTCCTCGGAAAGGTGATTTCAGAGGAGCAGTACGGGTTTCTGCTGGGAAGGGGACTTACAGACGCGGTGGGGTTGGTGGCTGATATCATCGATGCAGCCCGCAATAAAAATGAAGATTGGTTCATGTTGTTAGTCGACTTCAATAAGGCATTCGACTCTGTGTCGAGGGATTACATCTTCAAGATCCTAAGAAAATTAGGTTTCCCGGATCGGCTTGTGCGCTGGGTGGAGGGCCTGCACAAAGGAATGCAGAGGCGGCTGTTAGTCAACGGTTGGATCGGTGAGGGAGTGGAGGTAGCATTGGGAGTACGGCAGGGGTGTCCACCCGCCCCATACCTGTTGTTATGTGTAGTGGAGCCGCTGGTGCAGGAAGTGCTACGGAAGAAGTTGGGGCTCAGTAAAACGGACCACTGCTCTCGTACATCGGTTATGCAGACAACACCACACTGATCCTGGAGGGTAAAGACCAGATAATCAGAGCGGAGCAGATTCTGAAGTGGAGACAAATAAGGAGAAGTCGGTCATTCTGCCGCTGGGCAACAACCTTGGCAGACACTCCTGCAGACCAAACAGTTTCAGATAGGCGCAAGCAGACGGAGGGTGGTGATTAATGGTACAGTGAACCTGGATGGGGGAGACCGTGCAGTGGGTGGCTCGGAGCAAGAAGATGAAGGGGAAGTGCGCATGGGGGAGATGAGGGGATCGAAAGTGGGGAAGAGTGAATAGGAGGAAGGAGGAGGGGGTGAATGGGAGGATGGAGAGGAGAGTGAAGGGGATGGGAGTGAAGGGGAAGGGAGTGAAGGGTAGGGGAGTGAAGGGTAGGGGAGTGAAGGGATTCCCTGAGTTGCAGCTCCTTCTCGGCTAGCAGAGTGGATGTTCGTGAGCAGGATGGATTCCGCATTGCTTCCTGGTGGAGCTCCGCTACCATATCCACCAGATGTGTGGCCGTTGCCCTTACTCTTTTCCCTTCATCTCTTGCGTAGGTGCGCAATCCGACGCTGAGGCTCGTGAGGAGTAGTTCGAAGCGGCTCCCATCCGTGACCTCAATCCGCTGCACCGTTGCCTCCAGGATCTTGGAGTTTATCCTTAGCGCTACCTTCACCGCAAAACTATGATCAGATATGTATTCTTCGGGCATGATATGGGAAGCCTGCACTAGATGGGAGAGTAGGGAGTGGGATATTAGAGCTTTGTCAATGCGTGTGCTGACTTTCTGGGCTTGAGCGTGGAAAGTGTATTCTCGTTTGGATGGGTAGATGGTCCTGAAGGCGTCTGAGAGTTGAAATGGTCTGCATCTATTGAAGAGCCTATCGTTTTCTGCTGATGTACCAACTTTTGATGTCTTGTCTAATAGTGGGTCTTCGATTGTGTTTAAGTCTCCTATAATGAGCAGATGTGATGATGGCTGGATTGAGTTTACGATGGGAACTAGCACGGATCTGAGGAAAGAGGCTCTAAAGGTGGCGTCTGCTGGGAAGTAACACGCGAGGATGGTGAGGGTGAGTCATGGACTATGGAGTTCGGCTTGAATGACTCTACCCGGAAGAATGGGCTAAGATGTTGTGAAAGCGGAGCGATGGCTGTCTGCATATTAACGCAACCCCTCCGGCTTTGGCTTGAGGTGTGGCTGCGGCTACTAAGGTGAATGATGGGTGGCTCCAGAATGGGTGCGATGGGTCTAGTCTAGTGTCTGAGAGTACTGCAGTGTAAGCTACTTTGTTAAACAAGTCTATATCACGCTGTTGCTTCACTCAGTCTCCGAGGCCATTGACGTTCAGCCCCGCAAATGTGATAAGGGTTTTTGTACTCATTTAATAACTCTTGAGAACCCCTACGCATCCATAGGGTGATAAGACAGACGACTCCTACTGCTGTAAGAACTACCGCTGCTATTGCTGCTCTCCTACCTTCTTTTTCCAGCTCCTTCAGAAACCGTACTCCTTCCGGACAGCGCTGGCCATATATTGTAAACGTACAGCAATGTTGAGTCAAAACGTATAGAACTAACATGCTGCAACGACCTCTAACAGGGTTATGAGTGCCATGGTTCAGGTTTTGGGGATTAATTAATAGACATACCACGAATTGCAAGTCCATTACATAAGCACACAAGATCCATGCACACATGTTACTGCATACCAGATTTGCTACACATGCATCACAGAGACCCTAGACCTTTCAGACACTGTCGTACAACACCCAGGACCCAGCACACATAGCATGGTTCTGCAAACCCACTACTACCAACGCCTACACAAGGTGTTCCACACTCTTTTTGTCGTCCATGGCCGGAAACAACATTCCGCCTTGCTGAGTGGGTGGTTTAAAGTCGGAGCCCACCGAAGTAATCCCCTCCTCGCTGGGGCTGCCACCCCAAGAACGCTTAGTAGGCGTGCGGCGAAGACGGCTGAGCACCTCTTCGTTGAATCCATCCACCTCCTCTAGAACGTCGCTTACTAGGATACCAATGCTCTCCGCATGCTTCACAAACTCGCCAGCTACCATGCGCACCACGCGACGACAAATTCAATGGTCCCGACAGCTTCGACAGTCCCGCATGAGTAGCCCCTCGGGGATGCAGAAGTATGCCGGGATCGCCTCATCCGCCTCAGTCTCTTCAACATGCTTCGGCCTCCACTTCTCGAGGAGGTATTCGTCGCATCTACCAAAATCTCACGCCGTCATAAACAGGCCGCTGTTGCACTTGCTCCTGAACTCGTCAATGACCATCTGTAACATCGTCAGTTCCGACACAATGGGTTCGAACATAGCAGCCGCGACGGGGCCCTGTAGACGGTCCATACGCGCCATCCAGCCCCGCGGAACACACGCGGTATGCCACCAGCTCCTGTCAATTGCAGACGATAAGGTCAACTTGCACGCCATCCCCAGCATGTTAAGGACATCGTGCAGCGGAGGGCGCGAGATAACACCCTTATTATTCCACTCGGGGCTCCTAACCGCGTCGCGCATGAACCAGCAACAGAAAATCGCCTTCACCGTGTCCACCACACCCTTTGGCGCACGTCGGCACGACACCAAACATATGCACAACACGAATACCTGTCAGATGCTGGACGACCAACCCGGCCACGCAGCTGGTTTGCATCACACGTTTGGTGAGGACATGATTCGGATTGTGCACGAGCACAACATCGGCCTTGTTCTGTGCGTACATATTGCCATTAAACTTATCAATGAATTCCATGAAAAACTGCGCACATAATACAACAACCCGCCACACCGATTAGTGGTGGTCGCAAATACTTATGTAAAACTAATTAAATGCACATATTGCAACAGGCGCCCGTTCTTGGCGTAACGAACTTGGACCTCGTGTTTACGCCGGCGCCCATTGTGTACTAGCCTTTTGTCATCCCGGCGGAGAACAACGAGCGGGGGCTTGCGCATAGTGCCGGTTGCATTGAAGAAAAGGCATACGGGAAGGTGCCACTCACGCGACAGATGTTCACGCTCATCCTGATTCGAGGCCAACGGGACCCTAGTGGGGATTAACGGGAACTCAGTAAAAGTGAACACGTTTTCAGTCCCTTAAGATCCCCCAGCAGTGCTACAATGGATGCCATGGCGTGAGTATACTATGACTCAAACAAGATTGCACACAACTAGCGATTGTCCACAACTGATCGGAAACGTTCCAGTAATACGCAAACAACGGCACAATTTTGCGCAGAGGCAGATGCGTACGCGGTCTCCAACATGACACATGAGAGTCCAGACCCGATTTGTTGGCAAACTGGGATTACCCCAGCAACTTTCAGTTTCACGATTCCTCCAATCGCTCGTCTGCATACACCAATGGGGAAGTACTCCACGGATTACAACCCCCCTCGCCACATAACACGTGTACCCGTGCTGATCTGGGGTCACCATGTTGTGTATTGGCGTTAGGTGTATACTATAGCGCAGATGCAATGTTCGCCCCAGGTGGTGGGGCTGCGTCGACGTAGGTGCCTGTAGACCTATAAGATGCCATCTCTGCCCCCTCAGCTGCTACGAGTCCCAAGGTCCCTAAACCGCCTCGGCGTGAGTGCGATGGATCAGGATGTCAAGGGCGTCTGGATCCCCCTCAGGGGCAAGCAGCATGGAGCTGAGATGAGGAACATCGGCCGCAAGGAAACCAAGCTTGAACTGCCGGTCCTCCATGACCTCCAGGGGAAAGACAAGAGCACCCCCAGAGGACGGAGAACGAGGAGGGACGCTCACCAGGTGAGCGGTGTAGTCAAGGCGGAGAGGAGAGGCAAAGTCAGCGAGAGCATCAACAAGAGCCGAGACAGAGGACGGGGGAGCAGTCGGGTGTGTCACCAACGAGGACAGAACACGGGAAACAACATGACGGGCTGTACGCTGAGAGTCAGAAGCCAGAGCGGGTGGGACCAGCAAGGGACGACACATGAGGAGACGGAAGGACCGGAGGAGGTGGAACACGAGAGCGGAGAACTAGCAAGGGAGCTCTTGGAATGGCCAGGAACGCTGTGCTTCATGGGCTCAACAAGCACATGCGTATCAAGTGGCACTGGCTGCGTAAGGAGGTGAAGAGGGGGACGGAATGAGGCTTGCGGATGAGCCTCATTGGCGTTGTGTGCGCATGAGTGGAATGAGCATGAACTAGCATGGCATGATGGGGATGCAGCCGGCAGGCTGAGGGGGAGTGTGTTGGGCGCAAATTCACATTGCACGACATCCTGCCGTCTGTTTGTACGAGTATGCGTGTGCGAATGCATTTGCGTATGAATTGAATGTTTGTGTGTTTGTTTGCTTTCGTAATTTTCGCTTCATGCAATTGCAGGTACTCGCGTAATGTGCGCTTCGGCACAACATTGTACGCGCTATGAACAGTACAAGCAGAAAGGACGAGCTCGCAAAGGAACCCAAGATGGAAGCTTTGCGGTTCGGCATATTTGATTGCGCATATTCAGTTCTATCCAACTCGAAATTGTACTGTTTTGTTTGGTTGACTATAGTGTAGCAGGGCAGGCACTATAGAGGTACAATTTAGGTGAATTTTGGATGTTGCTTGTCTGTATCTGCATGCTACAGGGCCAGGGGAAACCAGCGGAACCAGCATTTGGCTGGTTGGGCAAAGACAAAACAGGTTCTGTTTTTAGGACCTGAATCTGGTTGTTGTTTTCCCAGGTTGGAAAAACAGAACTAGAGGTTGTTTACCAACCTACCACCTGCTGTTTTGTCCAGCCAGGTTGGTTCTGTTGCTTTGAATTATTTGGGATCATCCTTGGTTGTTCCCAGGTTGATTCCCAAGGACCTTGCTAGCTAGAAATATTTATTCCTTCTCTGTTTGTACCTGCATATAATCAATTTGATTCAAGCGAATTCCTCCCTTCCTGGAATTTCGTTTCTACGCGGTGCGACGGCGGAATGTTACCTAAATCAACGCTAGTACGCTAGCACTCCAACGCTAGGCAAACGCTGTACGAGCAATAACTCCGTAATGGCAGAACTTTTCGCGAGGCAACTTGGCTTATTTTAAAGCTCTTGGAGCAAGCTTCGATATAGCAAAGTCTCAGCTTAATCCGATCGACGGTCTGCACGATACGCTGCGCGACGTTCAAGGTACTCTTGTTATTTTCTCTAAGTCATTCTTGACTCCTCTCTCTACAAACTCGGACCCGAGGATAGGGGCTGGTCTTGTGCCAGGCACCCAAGGACCCTTGGAGGTGACCCCAAGGAGAGTTTTTAAGTTTGATTCAGTCTTAATAGCTTGAGTTTATTAGGCCCTTACACCAACAGAAGATAGGCAGTGGTCACATCCGTGTGATGGATGTGAA